AAAATTAGAGGGTGACTCCAGTTTTGGAGTACTAACTCTTAATTGTCTCCAAGTCCACTAGCATTTTTCTAGTTCTTCATTTGTTTGAGTACCATTAACTATAACCATTACTTCTGGCCTCTGGGAAATCCTCTAACTGTCCTATCCTACATATAAATAAATCACCTTTCTCCTTAGTTCAACAAAACAAGGCTGTAGTTTGTTCAAAGGAATTTTTTAAGGAAACCAAAACGGAAAGTAAACAAAATGGAAAGTAAAAGCATCGAAACAAAAGTATTTACACATTACTTTTTCCTACATAGTAAAAGTCTATAGTAAAAGCTGATACAGTCTATAGGGCTCTAAAGTCCTTGTGGCAATTCTTTACCCAGATCTCGCTAGCCAAATCTGTAAAATTGGGAGTTTTGATTCAGCACTGCCATTTAGAAATATTGTAGGAAAAAAAAAAGAAGACATGGAAAATATGTATTAAATATTAAACAAAAAATAAGATTATAAGATAGTATATATGATATGATTTTAATTTTATTGTATAGAGTATAATGGACAGGGGAAAAAAATCACCAGAGAGATATTCTCTGGATGGTAACAGTGATTATCTTTAAGTGGTAGAATTACAGTTAAATTTTAATTGCTTTTTGCTTTTCTGTTCTAAATTTTCTATAGGAACATATATTGTTTATGTCATTTAAAAGTATATTTTTAAACATATGAGTACTCCATTGTACTACTCTATTGCTGCTATATCAGTTCTAAACTTTTGAATGTTTTATTAAAGCTCTTTTTAATCCGGCTTTGTTCTATCTAAAATCATACTTTTCCCTCAGATAGCAACCTTGTTCTTGAGCAGGAGGCTCAGGTTATTATTATATTATGAAGCTAAGGCCATGAATGATCACTTCTTGTTTTGTAATGGAGGCACCTCTCTTTGTTGTCTGGTTTTTTTAGTGCTAGGGCCTGCTAAGGTCCAACAGTGATCAACAAATTTGTGGATTGTGACTGACTTCTCTTTCCAGCTATATCTACCAGCTGCTTAGTGTCCTCAGAGTCTCTTAGCAAATCAAAATTGTAATGTTAAATTTGGCAAAGTGCCGCTCTTTTAATGTGTTAGTTGATTATTGTTATTTAGCTATTCTACGTGCAAAAATGGGGCTGGATATTACAGATGACAATAGGGACAAGGCAATGGTAACATAGTAAGATTTCTATAAGTTTGAGTGATGTGCTTTCTTAGAGTGAATTTTTAAGTTCTTGGGTCCTTAAGTTTAGAAAACTATGTAATAATAAATGAAATATTGAAATAAACTTTGAGGATTATAAAAATACCCCAAGTGTGTATACTAGTTAGTGCGGGGAACGTGGCCAGTGTTCCCTGCAAAAAACCGGGTCCCTTTGGTAGAGTTGCAAGGGATAAGAAAATAATAGAGAGAAATGGAAAATAGAAGAAATAAAAGAATACACTGAGACAAAGATATAGTTTTATAAGTTTATAAAGATTACAGGCAAAGTGGGAGCTCAGGGGGCTTAGACCTCTCCGTTGGTCTCAAAAGCCCCAAATGAGGTCTTACATGGTAACTTATAGGAAATAGTGAACAATTGTCGGGGGTGACAGATTTACATAACAACAGGTAGTTCCTCTCGGGTTAACAGATTTTCAAAAGGCTTTTACAGAAGGCTTCTACAGATTCTTTTAACTAATTCTATTTACATGGGCAAACGGTTACAAAGTCTTTCAAAGGTTAATTTCTAAATTCTAAGGTAAGTTTATCATTTAAACAGAGGGGTTAAACAGAGATATGTAAGCTCCATGTTTATTAGGTTATTGTGAATGGAGACAGGTAGTCTAGAGTGGTTTAAACAAAAGCTTTGCTTTTAGCCATTCGGGAAGCTGTCGTTTCCGGGAAGCTGTTTGTTCCGGAGGGCACTCCATTGTCAGCTCTCAGCCTATAGTTTTTAACAGATTCGCTTGTGCTTTACAAAGCAAATCCAATTCTTTAGGTCTGAGAAACGCGGCGCCTTGAGGGATACAGCCGCTACTGCCTTTCAGAGACGCCCTTCCGAGTGTAACAGCATTCGAAATGCAAACCAACACGTTCACATATTCTTTCAGGGCAAAGCTCTGTAAAACTCTTAAGACAAATCCTGTCCCAAAACACGTTTAATACTAATTCATGGAGCGACAAGTTAGAATTAACTATTCTGTGATGTATTAACAGACAACTCTCCAATTGCAGTGGCTTAAAACAATAAAGGTTTATTTATTGTTCATCTTACAGTCTGATGCAGGTTGGGTGGCTCTCTTTGCAGCTCTTCTCCAAGCAGTGACCTCTTTTATTATATGATGCCACCATCTTTGTATGTAGCTTCCTAAGTTGTGGCAGAAAGGGAAGAGAAACTGTAGGTGATTTGCATTGATTTTATTGCCAGACTTAGAAATGGCACATTCAGTTTCACCTACATCCTCAAGGTCAAAAGCAAGGGCCCTTGGCCCCTAACCACAGAAGAAGGTTGATCTTTTCCTGTGCCCAGGAAAAATATAATGAGATGGGAACACATAGCATTGTCTCCACCACACCAAAGTCTTAGAAGAATAAAATGTGGCACTAAACATATCTTATAGCTGGGCTTTCTATTTTTTTTTCTTTTTATCTATTTTTCTTCTCTCTAGTTTCCTTCTTTGCTATCTGCCTTTCTGTCATGTTCAGCTGCCCAGGATAGAGTGGAGTAAGTGGTAGTAAGTGAAAAATCATCTTTTTCCTTGTTCCCTTTATTTGCTAAGAGAAAAGAAAGCCTCAACTATAAGTATGTACATCTTTGTTAGTAAAGCCCTTTGCACACAACTTAAATTTTCCATCTTCAAGAAAAAATATCAGTCTGTTGGATTAGTCATATTTAGGTTTTATTTAAAACCTAAGCAACTAATAATAGCATATTCTTAATGCCTTACCTGATCTGTAAATGTCAATTTTTATTTGTGCTATCTATCTAAAGAGGTCTCACTGTTGGAAATCACCATATCTGAAAAGATTCATTTATTTATTCATTCAGCAAATCTTCCTTGAGCTCCTCTTATGTGTCAGGCACTATTCTAGATGTTGGGGATCCAGTGGGGAACAAGACAAGAGTTTGTACTGTCATGGAGTTTATATTCTTGTGAGACTTATTGGTTAATAAAACCTGTAATGGATAGTGCAGTGTATCAGTTAGTTAATATACCAACTATAAGGATTATAAAATTAGAATAAGCATCATAGACTCAGGGTGGTTGGTTTTTAGAAATCATAATATCAATAAGATGATGACAATAATATGAGTTTATTTTTTTTCTTGTAGCTTTAAAGAAGCCCCCTATTTCAATTTCTCAGCAGGAAAGTCATCAAGCAATCTCCTATCTTCCAACTGGACAACCTATCTCCCCAAATATGGCTCCAGGTATGAAGTCTTATTTTAGAATTTCATGGGAAAACCAATGTACTGGTCATTATTTATATAATGAATAAAACATGTCATTTAGCAGCGTAGTGACATAGCATTCATTCTTTGAGTTAATGTTATATATTTTTTAATGACTGATAAAAGCTCAGGGAGAAATAATCATCTAAAATTGCACTTTGTCTAATGGATTGTTACAGTCTTTTTCTTAAAGGCAGAAGAATTATTTGTTGTGCCACTCTGGACTAGATTCCTTTTCATCTTTACCAGGCTATATAGATTTACCTTCTTCAAAATGTGTTCAAATTTATCTCATGGAGGCCTTCTATAAATTACTTTGCCCACCTATATTAAACTCCCTACTTCATATTTATGAATGTATTTGTTTTCTACTGAACACCTATTTGATTTTACAGAAATGTTCCTTTAAACTAAGAATTGATATAATTTAAGGGTGCTGCTTAAGGGAGATGATGGAAAGGAAAGATACAGGAGTCAGAGTGGCATAGGAGTTTCTGAATCCAAAATTAATTGTAATAAGGATCTACATCAAGACTTTGATGAGGAAAAAAAGAGAAGTGGGAGAAAGAGAGGTTATATATGGGAGATACTGCTATGAAAGAATCAAGAGCCAACAGTTGTGAGTCACTGTATAGATGAAGATGATTTAGAGATTAGAAATTTCAAAAGCCTTGCTAAATTTTGGAGATTTCTGACAGAAGTATGGAATTTGGAGGGGGGATAAGATATGGGTATCACTGAAATATTAATCTTTGGGTTTCTACTGTACATTTTTGGTAAATAGGTTTATAATCATTAGTAGAGATACTCACCTGGGAATGATTAGTAAACTTCCCACAGCTAAAATCACATTGGTTACAAGATTTGATTAAAGAAATTAGAATAAAGCTTAAACAAAAAAAGCTATGTTACTGCCCAATGTTAGACAACAGTGTGTCTTAGCTTTTCTAAAGCAGGTCTTGTGAAATTCTTCTGTAAAAGAATTAACATTCTTTTAATTTGATGTTTTTATGCCATAGATTCACACATAAACCACAATGGAAACCCTGGTACTTCAAAACAGAATCCTTCCAATCCTCTTCAGCGTTTAATTCCAGGCTCAAACTTGGAGAGTGAACCCAGAATTCAAACAGATACACTAAAGCAGGCTACCAAGGATAGAGTCAGTGATTTCCATAAATTGAAGCAAAGTAAGAATCAATTGATGAATATTATGCTAAAAAGATTTTGTTAAATAAAATATGAATTAAGGTCTTCATTATTATAATCCCTACCTAATGAATGTGTAGTGAAGTTATGTGTACATAAAAAGAAGATATGAAAGTGTTAAAATTTAAAAGAAAAGCAGGTTTTAAATGGATAGATACTATTTTAAAGAAAACTTGAAAAAGCTTCTTATGTTTTCCAATGTTAACTAATATATTTCAGGTGAGTTCATTTTTTTAAAAATTGTTATTCTTATGAATGTAAACTTCCTTGGAGAAATGAGAAGAGATATATTTTGGTAGGCTGTTGAATGAAAACTTTGATCAGAAGGGAGGGAAGATAAATAGTTTTGAAAACCAGAGCATTCTGGGAGAAACATACCCTGGGGAAACTGCCATAATGGAAGGTTCAATACTGCTTCCTCCTCTGTGCCCTCCAGTTGCAGTTTGCCTCATTTAGGTCTTGGGAAGTATGAGAAAAAATTTTGGTAGTAGAGAGAATTTGGGGCAGGAGAGTGTCCCTTAGATCAGCTTCCTTAAACTGTGTTTTTCACTGGTTCTGCTTTTCATGGCTTCTTTCTACCTTCACCTCTGAACAGATAGAATCTCTAAAAGCTCCAGTTTGTTTGGTTTTTATGATGGCTTCTGTGGTAGCAACTGCTCAGAACAGTATTTAGGCAGTTATTTGTACACAAGTTGTTTGTAGCCAAAGAACTGGACAGTGTCATATTTGTCAACTTATTCAAGGTATTTTTGTTGGTCCTTACAACAGTTACTCACATTTCTACATATTCGTGAATATATAGTTTATATACATTTAATTGGCTTTCCTTCCTTGATATTTTAAAGCATATCTTGACCAAAGTATTATATGAAAAACATTTTTATTTACAAGAATATAGCTAACATTTTAAATATAGTGAAAAAATGTTTCCTCAAAATTAGATTGGGGGATTGGCCTGACAACTTATATCTCAACAAAAAAAGGTGTACAGTAAGAACATAACAAATAAAATATCTTAGGCTGGGTGTGGTGGCTCACACCTGTAATCCAGGCACTTTGGGAGGCTGAGGCGGGAGAATTGCTTGAGGCCAGGAGTTCGAGACCAATGTGGGCAACATAGTGAGACCCCATCTCTACAAAAAATAAAAATTAAAAAAATTAGCCAAACGTGGTGGCATACACCTGTAGTCCTAGCTACTCAGGAGGCTGAGGGAGGAGGATTGCTTGAGCCCAGGAGTTCGAGGTTATAGTGAGCTATGATCATGCCACTGCTCTCCAGCCTGGGCAACAGAGCAAGACCCTGTCTCAAAAATTAACAAACAATAAATAAACATATTTATCCTGTAATTTTTTTATTGTTGCCTTACCCTGTATTTTTTAAACTGATCTTTGAGTAAAGAAAGTGATTAGAAATAATTATTAGGAAATCGTTACTCTCTACAATTTATTTTGAAAAGAGGCTATTGAGTTTTAAACTCTCATTCCAAATTCTTTTCCATGTATCATTAGTGTATATATAGAGTTGAAATCAATGCATGTACTATCTTGTGATTTACTTTAATTGACACTATTTCATGCATACCTTTTTACCTATCAAATAGTTATAGACTTGTCATTTTAAATGTATGTATATACACACACATACATACATATATTCCATTGTCCTAGGCAATAATAATAATTCACTTAGGCCTACTCTTATTGATTGTTTAGATTATTTTGCATTTTCTCATTATAGATGTCATGACTGTGACCACCTTTTTTTTAAATTGCTTCCTATTCCTCCTACTTTGGGTGTTCCTTGAAAAGTATAGCCCTTAGAATGAAATTATTGGGTCAAAGCACTTGACTAGCTTTATAGCTCTTGTTACATATTGTCAGATTGCTCTCTAGAACAGTTTTATAGTGTCACTGGAGATGTTTATCTGTTTCCCTATAGCCTGGCCACATTGATTTTTATAAGGTATTTAGAATATAGTGTTTCCTTAGGTTTTAATAAGCATTTACTTTCTGGTGGCCTATTTTTATGTGAGGAATTTTATTATAATTATTTCTTGGTATGTAATCTGTGCATCAGTTTTGACCACTTAACCTGAGAATTTCATAGATTGTTTCTATATATTTATGTCAATTCTTTATAAATAATTCAGATGCTAACCTTTTATAAGTTACTTTAATCACAGTTTTCCTCATCTGTTGTCTTTCCTGATAGGAGACTTTGTTATGTTTTATCATACAAAAGTTTTTTAAATTAAAAATAATTTTTTGTTGTGGTAGAATACATATAAAATTCACCAAAGTAGCATTTAGTGCATTCACAGCGTGGTATAACCTTCACTCCTATCTAGTTCCTGAACATTTTCATCACCCCAAAAGAAAACTCTGTACCTGTTAAACAGTTACTCCCTTTTCTCTGCTACTCAGAGCACCTGGTAACCACTAATCTGTTTTCTGTCTCCATGTCTATGGGAATCACCTATTCTGTGTATTTCATATAAATGAAATCATATAATATATGGCCTTTTGTGTCTAGCTTCTTTTTTAGTATAATTTTTCAAAGGTCAGCCATGGTATAGCATGTATCAGTATTTTATTTCTTTTTATGGTGAGTAATACTCAGTTGTGTGGATACATTTTGTATGGGTACATTATTCATCTGTTGATGCACATATGGGTTTTCTCTACAGTTTGGTATTGCAAATAGTGCTGCTACGAACATTCATGTATGAGTTTTTGTTGAATACCTGTTTTCAGTTCTTTCGGGTATATACCTTGATGTGGAATTGCTGAGTCATATGGTAATTCTATGTTTTACTTTTTGAGGAATTGCCAAACTGTTTTCCACAACAGCTGCACCATTTTACATTCCCACCAGCATTGCATCAGAGTTCCACTTTCTCCACATCCTTTTCAACACTTATTATCTTCCTTCCTTCCTTCTAACATTGCTGTCCTAGTGGATGTGAGGTGGTATTGGTTAGCATTGTGGTTTTGGTTTGCATTTATTTCCCTAATAATAAATGACACAGAGCTTCTTTTTGTGTACTTTTTGGTCATTTGTATATCTTTTTTTTTAAGAGATGGAGTGCAGTTGTGCTATGATCACTCACTGCAGCCTCAAACTCGTGGGCTCAAGCAATCCTCCTGCCTTAGCCTCCCCAGTAGTTAGGAATACAGGCATGCACCAACCACACTCAGCTAATTTTTAAAAATTTTTTTGTAGAGACAGGGTCTCACTGTGTTGCCCAGGCTGATCTTGAACTCCTCTCCTCAAGCAGGCTTCCTACATTGGTCTCCCAAAATGTTTATAGGCTCAAGCCACTGCTCCTAGCCATTTGCCCATTTTTTAATTGAGTTATTTGTTGTTGTTGAGTTGTGAGAGTTCTTTGTATATTCTCAATACTAGACCCTTATCAGATATAAGATTTGCAAATATTTTTGCCCATTCTATGAGTTATCTTTTCACTCTCTTTATAGTATCCTTTGGTGCACAAAAGTTTGTAATTTTGAAGAAGTCCAGTTTATCTATTTTTTTGTTGTTGCTCATGCTTTGTCTAAGAAACCATTCCTAAAATCATGGTCATGAAGACTTTCCCCTGATTTCTTCTAAGAGTTTTATAGGTTAGGCTGTTATATTTAAGGCTTTGATCCATTTTAAGTTAATTTTTGTATATGGTATGAGGTAAGGTCTAATTTCATCCTTTTGTGTGTGGATATCCAGTTGTCCCAGCACCATTTGTTGAAAAGTCTCCTCTTTCCCTATTGAACAGTCTTGACATTGTTGTCAAAAATCAATTGACCACAAATGTATGGGTTTATTTCTGGATTTTCAATTCTATTCTATTGGTCTATATGTCTATTCTTATTCCAGTATCACACTGTTTTGATTATATAAGTTTTGAAACAGGAAGTATGAATTCTCCAGCTTTGTTTTTCTTTAAGATTATTTTAGCTATTCACAATCCTTTGTGATTTTTTTTTTTTTTTTTTGAAACAGAGTCTCACTCTGTTTCCCAGGCTAGAGTGCGGTGGCATCAGCCTAGCTCACAGCAACCTCAAACTCCTGGGCTTAAGCGATCCTACTGTCTCAGCCTCCCGAGTAGCTGGGACTACAGGCATGCGCCACCATGCCCGGCTAATTTTATATATATATTTTTTTTTTCTTTTTTTTTGTTTAGTTGTCCAACTAATTTCTTTCTATTTTTTTAGTAGAGACGGGGTCTCGCTCTAGCTCGGGCTGGTCTTGAACTCCTGAGCTCAAAGGATCCACCCGCCTCAGCCTCCCAGAGTGCTAGGATTATAGGCATGACCACACCGGGCCAATCCTTTGTGACTTTATGTGAATTTCAAGATCTGCTTTTCCATTTCTACCAAAAGGGTGGTTGGGATTTTAAAAGGAATTGCATTGAATCTGCAGATCAATTTGGAGAGTATTACCATCTTAACAATATTAAGTCTGTCAATTTATGAATATGGGATGTCTTTCCATTTACTTAAGTCATTTTTAATTTCTTTCAGCAATGTTTCATAGTTTTCAGTGTACAGGTTTCACATTGCCTTGATTAAATTTATTCCTAAGCATTTTATTATTTTGATTTTACTGTAAATTAAATTATTTTCTTAATTTTGTTTTCAGATTTTTATTGCTGGTGCATAGACATATGACTGGATTTTTGTATGCTTATTTTGTATCCTGTAATTTTGCTGAATTTGATACAAAAGGCTTTTATTTGTATATATTTCAAGCATATCTATCTTGACTCTTATGACAGTCTCCATCCATTTTTTTAATAGAAAATCATCTGTTCTCCATCTGGGCATAAAAATACTATTCAATTTTCTTTGATGGTTTTTCCTAATTTATTATTTAACCTGTCTGGAATTTATAGTGATCCAAATTAATTTTTCTCTATACTGATGTCCATTTGTCCTAGAATTCTTATTAATTTTTTTATTTTTCCTTTGGTGGGTGATATTACTT